AAGATAGGTGTACACAATTAACTGTTAAAAAATCTAACAAATCTTAATTTTCATTAGGTCGATCCGATGCGACTCAACAAGTCAACAGCAGTAACGTAGAGGAATCTAATGAAGAGTACGATGAACAGCAGTTTACTGGTTGCATGCTGCGAAACATTGCTCGTGATGAAGTAAATGAGACTGGAGGCGAAGGATCGTTGGACTGCGACGACCAACTCAATGCTGACTTGGAACAGGAAGATGCATTAAACTACTCAGAGTTTGAAGAGGACGCGCTTGAATATATTGCGGGATATATCATCAAAAAGCTTAAACTTAAGATTTCCCCACCGGACGAATCCGTTTTTACTTGGGTGGATCAAGTTTCCGAAGGTGGCTTGACAAAACCGGATCGTGCTTTTGCTATCAAGATAATGGCATTGAATAACGTATTTAAACGAGTTCATGGCGAAACATTTGATGAAGAGAAAAAAACCATTGAAACGTGTATGAACACATCTAAGGATGTAGATTTAGCAGAAAATGCTAAAAGACTGTTTTTCCGAACACGCTTGTACACCGTATCAGATATCTAAACCGTAACATTGCAAACGCTTCGAAAGCAAAGAAAAGGAAAATGAAGAAGATCGTTGCGTAGACTACTCTTTTTTCCACTGTTTTTTTTTCTGAAATATACCTTCTGTTTGTACTTTATTCGTTTATTTTTAAAAGAGCTTTAATGTGATCTTACATTGAATTTCACTTTATATCACTGCGGGATTTCTGTCCTTAGGACAATTTCTAATGCGTTCACTCATCCGCTTGTCTTATGATCTTATTTTCAAATTCTGATGTGATTTGATGTGCCGCATGATGGGTTTCAGTTAAAGTCAGATTACGTTCACCCCCCCGAGTGGGATGTGTCCGAATGTGGCCGGTGTGGTCCTGGACACTCAATAAGGTCACCAATGACCTTACCTGTGAGTTCTGATGTGATTTGAGGTGTTGCACGATGAGTGTTAAATCAAGTCATATTCTGGCCACTTCCCCGAAGGTACCCGAAACATGACCAGGTGTGGCCAATGTGGTCCTGGAAACTAAATGACGCTGCCAATGACTTTGTTTTTGAATTCTCATGTGATATGATGTGTCACATGATAGGTTTTAATTCGAGTCATATTCTGGGCACTTCCCCGGTGGATCTCGGATTATCTCCGGGTATAGCCACTTCCCTGGTGGAATCCGGGGTATGTCTGGGTTTGGCCAATGAATTTGAATGACTTTCATCAGATCAAATCAAATATTAAAGCCAGAGAAGGCATCCTCGTGTTGCTCTCTAGAAAGAAAATCGTTAGCTCAGAATGCTTCTCGTTTTAATTTCTAACATCACGCATCATAAACACCAGCCGTACAGTATTTTAACTAAATGAAGAAAACACAAGCCACTATATTATCCACAATAAAAGCAATAAAATAAAGCAAATTGCATTGAAAACACTAACTTCGCTCATAGACTGCTTTCTCTCGCGCTTGTTTACGAGATGGATAGCAATGACGTCATCGCGCAAATGTCATTTTCCGGAATATCTCACCTCCTATAGTGTACACCGTGCCAGGGGCAAGACAGCTGTACTTAGAATAAATATATTTGCTGCGAGTAAATTTGAGTTGCTCATATTAACTCAAAAATGAACAAAGTAGTCTCGTATTTTTCATCATAAGAAGTTCTGGGAACAACCACCGTCTGACAGAATGTTTTCCTTAAATATTTTCAATTAAGAGGAAATTTAGCATTTGGCGTCAGATTATCAACTTTAATATAGCATGATGTCCATGAAACGGCAATATTAGTTTTCATTATTAAAAGATCCAAGTTGCATTGATTTTGCCCAGGCCAGGGGCTTCTTTTGCTTTCTAGGGATTGATGATGTCCGAAGTTTTTTGTGATGTGGTGGTGTGATTTCAAGACCTAATATTATGAGAAGATTATTTTAGCTCATGAAAATTAATACTCAACCTCTCAAAATCGATCTAAGAGGTTTCTTGTTCTGTGGAATTAGTTTCTGGCATACGGAAACTCAATATTACTAAATATTTTTAATTGAGGTGTAAAGTCAGAGTAATTGTCAACTGTCACTAGAAACCGTTGTTTCCCCTAATACTCTTAGAAAAAGACTCTCTGGACTATCAGAAATACCCCTCAATTTTTACTGAAATCGTTCGTTTGACTGTGCAGAATCTCTGTTGGGTTTTCCCGAAGTCCCCTCTGATATTGTCCGGCAGCCGTACTGAGAGTGTATGAAATCTTTTCTGATAATTGTCTGGAGTCACCCCTAGGCTAGTTCAGAGTCCCTCCGCCAGAAATCCCCTTTTCTATTGACTGGAATCCTTGAGGGATTGTTCGAAGTCTTCTAGGGATTGTCCAGAATCCCTCTGGGACTGTTCTGAATCCTTCTTGTGATTGTCCATCAGAATCCGTATTATGTGCTATACGAAAGTGCAATTGCCTTTCCATTGCCGAAATATCTTGTAGGTTAAGCTTTAGTTTGAATGGGCGCCGCTTAAAATGTTGAAATACGTATTACAAATTTACAAATGCAATTGCGCCCCTTTGAAATGTTACCACTGAATTATCTTTGCTTGACAGCATCGGTTTCAACACAACAACCAGGTTGCTATGTGTAAATGTTGTTGAGCAATGCGAGTTACTCAGAGTTACTCAAAATTAACTCCGATTATACTCATGATCGAAAGCTGTCTTGCCCCAAGTGATAATCTGACGCCAAATGCGAATTTTTTCTATGAATTGGCAATAACTCTTCAGTGCGAACATAGCCTTAATCGCATTAAAATAAAATTGAGATCGAAGTAGGCCGCACTGTAAAAATGAAGTGTTTTTGTTTTGCTGTGTTGTTTTCGTTCTTGTGATGTTGATGTTGAAAAATTACAATTTTTGATTTATAAAGCTTTAATTGAAAGTCCTAGAGTGGTGTTGAAAAGTGCATCAAGTGACAATTATCAAATCCCTCCCTTTCCGTTGCATTGGGGTCGTTGCAACGCTCAGCTAAGTTCATTTGCCTTTTCGTTCCTCTTTATCCATCTAAAATTGAGACAATGATTTTTAAAGTGACTAAATACGCGTCAATCAAGTATTGCTCTACTGCTTGATTGAAAGTTTCAGTACATTAGCAATGCACCATATGAGCATCGAGTGGGGCTTATCGTGTGTGAAAATACCTTCGGTTATTGGAACTACGTTTGAGCTTTCACCTTCTATCTCCTGGGTTCAAGCTTCTTGCATTCATAAGAAATGATTGCAGGCAGAAGTCATCGAGTGGCCATTTTTGTATTGTATTTGCACTTATTCCAGTTTTCAAACAAATTGAATTCTATATAAAATTTTCTGTTTTGTCTGGAACATTCAATTTGTTTTAATACGGCAATGACACATATAACTAAGAGCGTCGTTCAGAATACCATCTTGTATTTCAAAATGATTTCCGCCATTTGGATGCTACATTGGTGTTAGATTATAATTTATGATGTTGGGGTATTTCCTTAAAATTTCACGCGGGCTTTGCTCTAGCCAAATGACACCGCGCTTTCCATTTTCAGTTTATTCGATCCTTATGGGAAATAACATTACGGCCTTGCATTAGGAGCGGTCGTTAGTTTTGAAAAATATAGGTCACAACACATTTTCAAGATCCTCTCCAATTTTACAATGTTGGCATCCATCATTCATTTAGTTAGAAAGCCGCCATTTTTAGTTCAGATTTGGAAACTTGGATCTCAGTTTGATGCGGAATTACGATACAGTATATTTATTTGATCAAGCATCGCTGATTCCAAATAGTGTCGATTAAAATATTTAACAATGTACTCTCGAATACCTTAAGGTACAATCTTCTTTCCTTTATTTAATGTCGGTCTCTGTTCCGCAATCTAGTGCTAATCACCGACGGACATCGATTGCCATCCAGTGACGGCAATCGAATGTGCAGGAAGGCAGCTTCCACACCTGCGTAGGATATCGCACCCATTCAACACACATGGGCCGGGACCAACGGCTTTACTTCCCTTCCGAAGGAAGACGTGACCAGAGATTTTTATGCCTCAGAAAAATCCCACCGACCTCGGCTGGGATTGAACCCAGACCCATCGGGGTGTTAGAAAGCAGTCACGCTTACCCCTACACCACCGGCTTAAGGTACAATGATTTCGCCGAATTGAATCCTAGATAAACATTTCAAACGGGGTTATCTACATTGATCGATTCTCTTCATTGACTTTCTCTTTCGTTGATAACTCAGCTGCAAAACATTACCTGCTGTATTTGACTACTTTTAAACGAGACGAATTTAATGTAAAATTAAGTGTTCTCAAACCGAAACATAAGCAAATCGACGAACACAACATTTGATTGAATTGATTTTCTCGTTAATTTCAACTGATTCTTATGTCAAAAGGGCCGCTTACATGTGTCGGTCTCAGGGAACCGAAATTTACACAACTTTTTCGTAGTGTGTAGATAAGAACCAACCGGTCAGCACTCGTACTTTTTTCAGTTACCATGAAGACTTCATTTGTGATTAGCCCCGGTCCTTTCAAATTGTATCATAGAACGGCCCTTATATTTCCGGCCTAATTCATAAATGATTTTCTAACGACTGCAAACTTCAACAAATCATCAAAAACTCCCGCATTTTGTTTACCCCCCCCCCCCCCACGCAAACCACGAACTGTTCCCGTCCTTCTTTTACCGAAACCAAAGCAGAAAACTAAAGCTGCCTTAATAGTCACTTGTATTACAGCCCTACATCGATTTTCGATTACCTTCCATTGTCTAATTTTAAGTATCAACCAAACAGTTAAATAAATATACGATTTTCTTGCGTTTCTGCGACCAAGCGTCTCTCGGAAATTCTACAACTATCTACACTGTAAAAAAAAACATTAATGCTGCTTGGTTTACATTTTTTTCTTCTCTTCTCTTTCAAACTCGCATCCGAAGGAAACCTGTCAACTTGTGCCGGCAAAATTACATCGTAGGTCGATGATTTTTTGTTTCGTTTGGAAAGGAAAAACTCTGTAATTTTGCTAGTCTATTTACAAAAGGAGGACAAAGAGACGCGGCGGTTACTGCTACCTGCTAAAATCTTACCCAAGAAGTTGGAAAGTCCATATCACACAGAATTTTTTCTTATCATTCACTTAGCTTGAAATATTTCTTATAATTCCGGGAATCTATTTACACAATTACATTTGCCTAGAAGTGTTCGTCCAGGATGATTCTCTGCTTCACGCACGACTGTGGTTGTCTATTTTAGTGTGTTTGTTTGTTTGTGTGTGTGTGTGAGAGAGAGAGCTCAAAGCAGGCACAAAATGGTAGATATTTCGATCTTTCGTCTATTTTCAACAACTCTTTCTCTCTGTGTCACGGTCGGCTTCTATGTAGTGAGTTAGTTTGTTCTCTAACGGCTAGATTTGGTTTTTGGTTTTGCTTTAAAGTTACGTATCCTTGTTTAATGATTTTTACTTTATTCGATAGATGAGCTTCTGCGGGTGGAGTTTTGTGTGTTTGAAAGATGTCATGATTGAAGTAAATGGGGGAGAGGTGCAGGGGGTGTGGAGCTCAGTGGCACTGCCACTGATTGTTTCAGTAGTTGAAACAGAGCTCATCGAACAACAGTTGCTCTCAATAGGCCGTAGTAGGCCCGTGGTGCACCAGGTGGTGGTGATGGTGGCTGAAGTGGTTCAACGGGTTCATCGTGTCGGGTCCGGAGGGTGGAGTGGCCGAGTACCAGTCGTTGGGATGGTGCTGCGGATGATGATACAGTAGGGGATGGTTGTGGTGTCCAACCAGCATCGACGAGGCAGTGGCCGTGGCCTGAGGAGAAACGGACGACGCTGGTGTCAGCTGGAGCTGCGGATGTCCCAGACTACTAGGATGGTTCTGGAGGTGATGGTGGTGAGGGTGCTGGTGATGCGAATGATGATGCAGGTTGTGGTGTTGGTTTTGGCTTAGATGTGAGAGGGCACTGTTCGTCGATGAGGACGTCGTCGAGGCGCCTCCGACCGGTGACAGCAGGTGATTGGTCGACGGTGATTTCGTGTTGTTGTTATTGTTGCTATTATTGTTATTGTTATTGATCGATTCACTGCCCAGCTTGCTTGGATTGTGACTGTCATGCAACCGGCTGATCGACGGCGGGGTCTGAGTTCCTCCGGTTATGACACTATCCGAGCTCGATTCTTCACCTTCACTGTCGTAGTTGTGCGATGGAGACTTCTCTCCTAAACTTCCGTGGACCTGTCAGAGCGAAACAAGATGAATAACGATTACAACCGATCTTCAGCTTTTTTTTTTTCTTTCTCTATTGAGCGATGGGACTTTCAACGAAAGCACTCGTTCGAGCTGCAATATGGGGAAGAGTTGAAAATCAACTCTCTTTCCATAAAGTCGTCGTGTTGGAGAGCGCCGTATCGCCTCTTGAAAATCTCGACAAACAATTTATCTACACGGATGGATGGACGAGAACGAATCGTGGATGATAAAAAAAAACTTACCTTCATGTGTTTCCTCAGCGATGATGGATGAGTGTAAGATTTATCACAACCATTAACACGACAGTTATACGGCTTATCAGATGTATGGACGTGTGAATGTTTCTTTCTATCTGATGAATTAGCAAATCGTCTATCGCATCCCTCATGCTCGCACTTGAACGGTTTTTCACCTGCAAAAAAATAGAGAAACGAATAAAAAAAAAAGTTAGAAATTGCACATCCTTGATCTGTGATGATGATGATGATGATGATGCAACTCGCACGCCTTCATCAAGCACGCAGCCAATCGCAGCTGTCAAATTCTTTTGTTTATCCTTCGTCATCGTCGCGTCGCTTTTCTTCCTTCCCTCGTTCGTTCGTCTTCGTCTTGGTCAGTTTCAAAATCTACACCATCAGAGAGCAGTGAGCAGTGTTTTGTTATTCATTCAAATTTTTCTGCGAAGTGCGTCATAAATCATTTCTCTTGAGAAGGTCCAACGCAAAAGGCAACGGCAAGGAAACCCCTGCAACATTTTTCAGATTCTTTCCGGAGAATGTTGGCGAATATGTATGTTATATGGACGGATGGATGGATATATGCAATGGAGAAGAGGCTCGTTCCGGCCTTCCTTTTCTCCTCTGCCCAGCAGAAGCGGCAGCGACGGTCGAAGGCAGGAGGTATACTAGAATTTATGGCACCTTGTCGCTCCGGAGGTGCAGAGGTATCCTTTTTTTGACTTTTTGCTTTTGGCTTGATATTTACTGTGCTGGGTTAGCACTGATGGCCTTGCCCAGGCACTCGAAAGTTTCCAAATTGCAAATATTTGAATTATGGTTTAACTGTAAAGTTTCTCTTTTTTTGGGTCTTTTTTCTCTGTGCTTTTTAGAGGTTTAGTTTTGCATCCCACGTGAGAAGGTGAAGGTCATCTGTCCTGGCAGGAGGTTATCAGTTTGGTGAGTAGTTTTTCTCGGAGCTGATTGTTTTGAAGAATCCGGAGCTGATCGGAGCATCAATTGTACACACAAAATTAATATACAGTAGAGTACACCCAATCAGCTCGATTGAGCACACTTTAACAAGTAGGACACAAACAGTATAATATAAAACGGCATCACTGTCGAGTGTTGACATTTTTTCCAATCGCTGGCTACTTGACAAAGTTAACTACTCGGTTGAATATTTTGCTTGCTCAAAAGTGAAGCTAGTGAGTGAATTTGTTACAATGACACATAAAACTGGTAAAACAAAGATTCTCTGAACCGTGAATCTCTTCAAATCTAGCTAAACTCAGTCCGTCTTTCCATCCGTTTCATACAGAACGGCTTCTATTCGGGTTTCACATCAATGAAACGGATTGCTTCCAGTGACGGTTGGTCAAAAGCCGGGAAGATTTGGTACAATATGACGGAACGGTTCGGAATGCGATCGGCGAATGTTTGAGTCTATCTATGGTGCAGACTGATTGGATCCCGTGATCATGGAAGTCATAAACAAACCTGGAGATATTGAACGCCAGTTTACGCACGTTCACAGCTGAGTACTGCGAACTCAGCCGATTTTATTTTTCAGGAGAGCTAGAAAACATCTTGAAAATCTTCCGAAGTTTCAAATTGTTTTGCTGAAACAACTCACGAAATTGTATATACATACTGTCAAATGAACCCTTGGCTCCTCCTCTGCTCCAGAAATAACGTATACATGGTGATGGGAGTGCACCTACCCACAAAGCTCACATGACTCTTATAAAGTTTGATTACATTCTTGTTTCAGCAACCCAGTTTTGGCATTATTAATATCAAATAAAAACACTTTTTCGAGCATAACGCTCGATGATTTACATTATCCGCGATGTTTCGACAGTTTCATAATTATAATTCTTAATTTGTTTTCAGTAGGTGGCAACACCTTTACATGTGGTTCAAACAATAACTACCTATGTGACATCTGAGCTCTTTCGAATGTTTGGCTCCCGTTTGACAGTTTGACTCGGCTCCCATATGACAAGCATTTTGAGTTAGTTCGCAGTACTCAGGTTCACAGTACGTATCCTTGTCGGGACGCAACTTAAAATTAAGCCGGCTGCGGATGAAATTTTGAAGAAGTCTGTTATCGAGAAATTCTCCAACCTGAACAATTCCTAGACCGGACCGGAAATCGAACCCAGCCACCACCAGCATGGTATTACCAACCGGTGAAAATTAATTTAAAATTGGCTCGCTACTTGACTAGCCCATTGGTCCCAAATACATATATAAGCACAACCCATTCTAGTCATAATTCTACACTCAAAATAATCCTCACATCAATGCTACGTGAAAACACACATACATTTTTTCCATCGCATTTTTCACGTAAGACTTACTTAGTGCTCATATGTAGGCACTCAATTCAGTGAGCTTCAACGTAACTGGTTTATCACGTAGAAGTTACGTGATTTTTCCGATAAAATGCATGGTGAATCCAATTGATTATTCAATTCCGATTCGATTTAAATAAAATGTTTTCTTTATTTTTTAATAGACATAAATATACAAAAAAACACATTGGCATTAAACACATAATGAAATAAAATTCGACAGCAAAGGAAAGAGATACCCTACGTGATTTTTCACGTAACAACAACGTGTTGATTATTTTGAGTGTAGTACTACACTATGTTTTTTTTTTTTTTTATACCTTTATTAAGGAGACTTTCAGCCATTGGCTGGCTCGTCTCCGAAACTACACTATGTTTGTTTTGATTCGCTTTGAAAATTTGACAGATAAAATGAGAGGTTCGTGGATTTTTCTATGTTTCGAGGGTTGCATCGATTAGCTTGGGACCGAAGAAAGTACCAGAGCTGAGCCAAAAAGTTGAGCACGTTTCTTTGGGACCTACTAGTCTTAGAGTTACCTCTATGGTATTACTTTGTAGCTTCGCCTTAAACGACTGAGCTAAGGGAGTATTTTGCGTCAACTTTTTTCTCAGTGTGCCTCACGTGTGCCGCAGCTGTGCTGGGAGTGCCGAGAGTGTCATCAAAATGAATATTTTTTTGTATAATGGTATGTTTGGCAACCCGGTTAATTTGACAGTTCACAAGCCTTGTTTTGACGAAACAAAACAACAAGCAGTGAAATCCTATCCCAAATCCTAACTTTCATGACTCTCGGTTCGTTGCTCCCAAATTCTATCGAAAAAGGACTACAATAAGCAACGGCCTCCACCACCAAATCGAAGCTTCGAGCTAGAACGTTCGGGAAGGCACTTCCAATTTCCGACAGGACAATAACTTCTATTAGATTGGAGTATAATGAGGACTCTGATGAACCACAGGTGACGGTGGTAAGTAGACGAAGCGAACGTGCATCATCAGACGAAACTGGTCCAGATGCTCTTCAGATTCTGATGAACGCTTCCGGGAGGAGTCCCTCCCGAAAGCCATCGACTCAGTCAAAGATGCGTCGCCAGCGTTCTAGTGGGAGTTTCAACCGGAATCAGACTTGGGTGTTGTTTGATATGTCCACACGGTAAGATAGTCCAACGATCGGCAAAATGGAGAGAAGTATGATGTCTCTGACGAAAAGCAGTGCCGGCCAGCGAACGCTTCGTCGATGGTAGACAAGCAAACACCGGTGAAGATTCTACCTCCGAACATGGTCCGAGCGATCATCGAAGGCAAATTCATCGATGTCAGTTACGATGAGAAACGAATCAAGGAAGTGAATGTCGGTTGTCGGTCGAATCTCCCCGCCCCAAATCGATCTACCAACGTCTTCAACGTTCGCTTCACTTCCTCCTTCAAGGTCTCGCTCTCCCCCACTAGCCAACTCACTAATCACATTCCGAATCGGCATTATGACCAGTAGCAGTCCCTTCATAGTCATCTTTTCAATCAGCTTCCCGAACGATGCCACCGCCTTCCCCGATCAAACTGTTCTGAAACACCAAACCAGATCCTTGAACAGTTCGATCGTCTTGAGTGGAGGTTCTCCGATCTCGAAGTATTCCGGTAGCGACTCCAGCACCATCCGGAAGAATTCTAGTATGACCCCCAGATTACAGATGTACTAGGAAACGGTCATCGCCTTGATGACCTCGCTCATGCTAGTGTTTTGAAAATATGTACGCTGTGAGGAATCCATGGCAGAACTTCGCCGGAAATTCTTCTTCTTCTTCTTCTTTTTTTCCTTTATTTAACGTCGGTCTCTGTTCCGCAATCTAGTGCCAATCACCGACGGACATCGATTGCCATCCATTGACGGCAACCGAATGTGCAGGAAGGCAGCTTCCACACCTGCGTAGGATATCGCACCCATTCAAACACACATGGGCCGGGACCAACGGCTTTACTTCCCTTCCGAAGGAAGACGTGACCAGAGATTTTTATGCCTCAGAAAAATCCCACCGACCTCGGCTGGGATTGAACCCAGACCCATTGGGGTGTTAGAAAGCAGTCACGCTTACCACTACACCACCGGCGCCGGCCGCCGGAAATTCACAGTTGAAGTTATGAAATCAAAAATTGGATTGTGTAAACAACAATTATTCACTTTTTGACACATGCATAGGAGCAAGCGCAGATATAGTACAGTGTTGCCAGTAACTTTAAATATCATGAAAATTTATAGCCATGGGTGCCAATTAAAGTGCCCAGGTGTGTCCATCTGTATTTTTGGCACACTGTGCCAACCCAAATGCTCCAAAAATGCACCACCATATAGCCATGGTGACGTGTGATCCCAATTGCTTGACGGTGATCAATATGAAATGGTCCGGCCTGTGATAGAGCTTGTTCGAATGGCTTCCTCCCGGCGCTTGGAATTAACGACTTTTTGTCAATATTCAGCATCGTCTCGTCGAAAAAAAAAAACCGATTCACGACAAACGCAGTGCACGGATATCCTTTCTTTTATATTTTCTTCTTATCTTACGGTGTCAGCCTTTGTCAAATTCGATTTAATGAAAAGTTTAGAATTAAGAAAATAATAAAAATTTATTAAAATCACAAAGGCAAAACTGGAGCAAAACCAAAACGTCAGTTTTTCAGCGCGGCCTACTATTTTCTCCTAGATATTTATTTTATATAATTCATTGAAAAGTCTTCCGACCACTATATCATAGAGGTAACTCTAAGACCAGAAGGTCCCGAAGAAAAGTGCTCAACTTTTTGGCTCAGCTCTGCTACTCTCTTCGGTCCCAAGCTAATCGAT